TTATATGTGTGTATATGTGCATGACCCAAGTTGATAGCAGTAGAGATGGATGACCCAAGCTAATGCCAATAGAGAGGGAGAGTAGTCAGGGAGGGCTTCCTGAAGGAAGTTACATTTGAACTATACCCCAATAAGCTTGTAGAAGAACTCACATTCAAGATTTGTCTGATTGTTTCCTTGTGATACCATTTAGCTTGTTCCTCTATTTGCTATAAATTGGAACTTAGGTAAGAGACTTGAGATTCAAGTTAAACATTTTGATGATGCTATTTGATAAAGAGTTTATATACCTCATATTATTTCATTTCAGGGCTACACAGTAATTATCCCTGTTGCTAAGTTTGATCACCTGGTTATAGTTGTAACTTCTACACTGTAGTCTAGCATACTTCAGGGTCTTCCCATAGTGACCCTGCCATCTTGCTCCCACCAGTCAGTGGCCCCACATTTTTGTCAGCTCTTGTTATTGTCAGCATGTTTTACCTTAGCCAATAGTCCTGTCTCATGGCAGTTTTGATTTCCTTAATTGGCTAGTTGTTGGGCCATTTCCTCACTTGCTCACCATGGGTGTTTCCTCTCAGATAAGGTGTCTGTTCAAGTCTTTTTTCCATCTTGTGTTGGGATTGGTTTTCTCACTGTTGAGTTTGAGAATTTATTTTTTTTTTAAAGATTTATTTATTTGTACATACAGAACTGGGGTACAGACCAGAGGCTCAGGGGTGGCGAGAGGTTTCACCAGAGACAAAGTGGGGAGCAGAACAGGCAGATCGACGAAGTACACTGCTGAGTGGAGCAGCGGGCGGGTCAGGAGAGGTCTGCCAAGCCATGTGGATCTCCTCCGGGGCAGGCGGGAATTGAACTCATGCAGAAGTGCTGTGCTTTACCCCACTGCGCCACCAGGGAGGGCCCGAGAATTTTTTTCTCATGTAGAACATGAGAAGAAATTTTTTCTCTTGTAGAACATGCTATGGAGGGAGTTGCAGTGTCGTTTCCAGGAAACATGACATGGGTATATAAATCTGTGCTGAAAATCTGCTCTTCCCCCAATTTATTTTTTTAATTACATAAAAATAAAATATTCATAAAATTTCAACCATTTTGCAGTGTATGGTTCAGGAACATTACACTCAGTCTGTAGGCACCCATCATCAACGTCCCTCTCTGTGACATTTTTACCTTCTAAAATTGAAATTCTGTACCCTTTAAATAAGCCCCCATTTCACCCTTCCCCCAGACTATGGCAACTAACATCCTTCTTTCTGTGTCTTATTTTGACTGCTCTAGACATTGCACATAGGTGTCCTATCATTAGTATTATGTTATAATACTCCAGATTCATTGTTATGTGAGTCAGAATTTCTTTCTTCGGGGCTGTATAATGTGCCATGCATGGATATGCCACATGTCACTTAGCTCTTCGTCCACCAGCCATCAGTCCATCAGGTGGAAATGAGGGCCATTTCCACCTCCTGGCACTTTGAATAATGCTGCTGTGAAGAAATCTGTTTTGATTTCTTAGACACCAAGCTACTGGGTCTTACTGAGTGTGGGATGTGACCTATACATCTAGGTCTGATGATTTTATGATCTGATGTGCTTGCATGTCACAGAAACGAACTCAGACTGGCTTAAACATGAAAAGGGAGCTTTGGGTTTGCGTCACTGAAATGTCCAGGTGTAATGGCAATGTCACAGGACTCAGCTGTGCACTCCCTCTTATCTCTTCTTGTCTTTGTAGGATAGGGCATTCCACATCATAACTCCTGGTGAAGAGTTCTCCCAGCTAGCCACTGAAGTGGGGAAAAGGATCCTTTCCTGATTTCCATCAGAATTTTCAGAATTGAGTCTCATGAGCCTGGTTGGGTGTCATGTGCCTGTTGCTGACCCCCCCTTGTGACTGGGGACAGGCAGTTTCCTGGTTGGCCAGGCCTGGGACACATGCCACTCCCTATCAGAGAGGCTAGGAAGGCAAGTGGGATGATCCTCCAAGGGAGTTGGGTATTGTTGCCAAAAAAAGGGGAAAGGAGGCGGAAGCAGACAGAACAATGGCAACAGCTGCTCTAAGAGCAAAGTGAAACTTTGTCCTGCCCATGTATGCCAGGCATTGGGCATGGCCCATGTACCTTAGTTATTGCAGTTCATCCTCAAGGGGGTTACTATCCCTGTTTTGGAGAGAAAGCGCAGCCGCCAGAGATTGGTACCTCGTGAGTGTCACCCAGCAGCTGAGCCAGCATTAGAAAGAACCCAGTGTGCCCGCCCCAAACCCTGGGCAAGGCCAAAGCCCTGCCTTGGGACACTTCTCATTAAAAAGTTAAATCTGCACTAAAAATGCAGACATCAAATTGTGTGCAGAAGTTGATTCCAATAAACCAATTAGGCCTGCTGCGGAGTCCTTTGTACTGTACATACAGAACTTTAAAAACTATAAACAAGAGCTCAAGAATGAATTGGGTAAGCAGAATTTTGTTTCCATTTATGGAAATATGCTTTTTGTTGGTTTTAGGATTAAAATAAAATCTTGATGATTTTTCTTCTTTTTTACCCCCTGGTGTTCTCATCCATTTTGGCATTATCTCTGACAGAGATTCATTCAGACTTTGCTTAAATACCCCCTTCCCTGAGGGACAGGGATTTGTAGATTCTGGGCCTCAGTTTACCCATCTGGGAGGATTAGCTGAGTTCTCTGGTACTTTCAGTGACAGAAAGGCCCTTTGCTGGTGTTTCTGTCCCTCTTCAAACTGTCTTCCACACAACAGCCAGGGAGATACATGTGGATATTTTTAAAAACATAGGTTGGATCACATGGCAAGCCACATACCCCTTTAAAGCTCTGTACAGGAGTAGAAAAATTTCTTGTGGCCTGAAGCCCTTTGTTATGCATGTGCTGGGTCTCTCCTGACTTCAACCCTCCCCCAGCTCTGTCCTGTCAGATGCTCACCTGTTCCTTAAAGGTGGGGCATTGCCCTTTGTTCTGCTTGCTGTGTGCCTGGGGCCCCTTTCCTTAGCTCTTCTCATGGCCAACTCTTCAGTCTTTAGGTCTCAGCTCAAAGGTTGCTTTCTCAGATAGGCCTCCCCCTCCAAGGCCACCCTAAAGTGGCCAGCAACCCCCCACCTCAAGGCCGTCACAGCAGACTTCGGGACGTTAACACTCACTGCCACTTGGTAATTATTTACCTATATGCTGGTCTATGGCCTGTCTTCTTGCTCTCCAAGAGTTAGGTCTGCATCTGCGGTGTTCCCCAGTGTACCCCAGCACCTGGCAGAGGGCCTGGCACATAGGTACTTACTAAGTGCTGTAGACCAAATGAATGAATGAATTGGAGCCATTCAAAATCTCTATGTTGGAATCTTTTTTTTTAATTGAAGCCACATTAAGTGTCAGTTGTTCATCATTTTAAGTCAACATCTTTATATATTGCTAAAAGTTCACTTCTGTTCTTCATACAGCTCGTCCCTTTTTTTTTTTTTT